AGAAATCCCGGTCGGTTCGCGCCCGACCAATTATCGTGTTTTATTCAATCGATCCAAATTTTATTTTCTGAAACTCTGCTAAAACTCAATTAAGAAATTCAAGGTGTAAGGCTTGAAAAAATCCACTCTAGAATTAAAACCTTACATTTTTTGCATGGAAAAGTTTGCGGGCAACTTCCATGCTGAAATAGTAATATTCAAAGCAAACGTCGATACATAATGCAGTACTTGAGCAAATTCTTATTTTATATGCGTGTATGTGTATTTTAGTCAAAGAGCCTAAAAAAAAGATGATTTATTACAAAAAACAATGATTGAAAACAATTACAAAAAATGCGCCTTGATTTTATCCGCATTTTATACGTCGATTATCCTGGATGAGAAAGGTTAGAAAAAAACATGATTTTCGATCGGGATCAGATGGAAACATTTTAGCTAATTTGTATGGTACTTTTTTTCAATTCTGATAAAATACTGTACTGATACGGATTAGCTCTAATTAAAAATCAAGTTGATCAGGGCAATGCAGTGCTGCCCAAATACGGCCCACGGACCGAATCTGGCCCGCACAGACTCTTCATTAATCCCACAGTCCCGCGGTTTTCTTGACTGCTGTATTGCCAGCATTATTCAAAATATATACTGTATTGATGAAGATGAATTAAAAAATTCAGAATGTTAGATTCAGATTCTGAATGTTGCTCCCCTCATTGAAAATTTCATTCCAAATATGCTGAATTCAATTTTAATTTTTTTTCATTCAAGGTGTTACCATTTGAGTGTCCGGTCAGCCACTGGTTGGTCAATTCACGGTCATGCACCCGCCGGTTGTCAAGCGCCGGTCGGTCCAACCACCAGCCAGGGCAGTTCTTGGCCTCGCCAATCCCCAGCCCACCAAACTGCGGTTTGGTCACCCAATTGTCAGGGCACCTGAACAATCGGGTAACACAAATCATGCTGATTTTTTTTCAGAATTCAGTGAGCAGAATGGTATCCTACAATTATTCCTACCAGATTTTTTTTCAAAATTTCAGCAATGTTAGGTTAGGTTAGGTTAGGTCAGTTTGTTATGTTAGTTTAGGTTAGAATAGGTTAGGTTAGGATATGTACAGTTAAGTTAGGTTGGGTTTGATGAGTTTTTTATTTTTGTGAAAATTTTTATAAGATGAAATTTTGTAAAAAAAAAATCTGTGGTAGGATACCATTCTGCTCACCAAATTCTAGAAAGAATCAGCATGATTCTTGTCACCCAATTGTTTGGGTGTCCNATCAGCATGATTCTTGTCACCCAATTGTTTGGGTGTCCCAACAATGGGGTGACCAGACCGCAGTTTGGTGGACTGGGGATTGGCAAGGCCAAGGACTGCCCTGGCTGGCGGTTAGACCAACCAGCGCTAGACTACCAGCAGGTGCGCAACCGGGATTTGAACGGCTGGCGGATGACCCGGTACCAACAATTTGGCACCCACAAATTTTTTTTTATGTTGTGGCTTACTTCAAGGACTCTCAATCTCTGCAACATATGGCCCTTGGCCACAAAAATGTATTAAGTTGGCCCTTGGCCGCATCTGTCATCTTCTGTTCCTATGTACAAGGGTTGGTTCATATAAGATGATAAACTGCCACTGGCCATCAACATAGACAATTTTCTTTCTTTTGCTCTTCAATTCTTGATTGGTGTCTATTAGATTTTTCATGGATTATTCAGCTACAGATGGTATTGGGGACAGATGTTGCTCAATATAAGTTAGTGTTCAAGGAATTCCTTCTTGGAATTTCTGGGTTTGAGGATGAAGTGTATTTCACACAGGATAATAACTACTTGGCAAACTCTTGCTTCAACTATTAGATTGAATTGGAATAATTATATCTACCGTATTTACTTGAGTACCATGCGCCCTCAAGTAAGGCATGCACAGGGGTTTTTCAGTTGGAAATTTTGCAAAAATCTCATCCCCAGGTAAGATGCACACCCCAATTTTTAGTGAATCTAAAACCATAAAATTTCATTTTATTTTTGTTTTTTAAACTGAAATCCGTACTTAACTACAAAAATCAGATGAATTTTCAACTTTTTCAATACAAAAATGATTTCTTGTTATATTTCTTCTAATTTTCTCCATTATAATTAAGTACAATGCAAACATAACTTCCTAAAACTTCTTGAAAATGTTATACCTGCTTATGACGCGCACCCCTTTTTTTCTTCTGAAATTTGGGAAAAAAGGTGCGCGTGGTACTCGAGTAAATACGTTATATACAGTATATTCTTTTCTTCTCTTGACTGGCTTATGCCAAATCTAATAATTACCCTACATTAGGTTTTATTATTTGTTTTTAAGTTGGAGGATGAAACTTTGGTAAATACTGTACTGAGAATGTAGATCAATGATGGCACACTTACCTGACAAAAGGAAATGAGAAAAATACCTGTAATGCTGTGAATCCCCTCCACTGCAGAGAAGTTCACCATATACATAACCCCTAAAGTCATAGATCATGCAAGTGTGCATTCAGCTGCTCTTGATCAATTAAACTTCACTTCAGTGCACTTCATTGGAGGTGATTCACTGTGATCCAGGTCTTTTTCTTGTTTCCTTCTGTAGCTGAGTAGTCAATAAAAAATGTATTAGACACCAATCAAGGATTGAAGAGCAGAATAAAAAAATTGCATCCACCTCCAATGATGGCAAGTGGTAGTTAATCATCTTTTACAAACCAACCCTCGTATATACAGTTATTCACAGACATCTTCTTTGGATTTGGTGCATATGCATCTGCTTTGCTCCACTCCAAATACTCCAAAGCACCCGCTTTCCTTTATTCGTGGGACCATTGCAACCAAGGAGCAATTCGTTTAGTGGATTTCCTCAATTTGATGTACACCGCGAATCTGCAGTTCTTCATCAACACAAACTGGAATCAGCGTAAAATCAGAATAAAATCAGGTACGTATTCATTTTTCTTCTTTTAAACCCCAATTTCCGTTTTTTTATATTTACAATTCAATTCCGAAAATCAAATATTAATTTCGAAAATATAGGAAGGTCTCACGGCGATGATATTGCGCTTCTTCTGAATCCCTTCAATTCGCAACCCCTGACTCCAGCTGACAAAGCGGTCAAGAACCTTGTTTCATCCCTGCTCATCTCCTTTGCGACTTCCACGTGAGATGGCAGCAGCAGCGCTTATAAAGAGACTACAGTGAGACCCCAACACTCAGACATACAGTATATAAACAATTCAACTTAGGGACATTTGAAGCTAAAAAAAAAATCTGGCCCAACATCTGGACAATGTCTCAACAACATGCAGATACTTTTTCAAAATTGCTAGAATAATAGAAAAATTTTCCTATATCAAATTTTGAATATTTCTTGAACAAAACTGAGCTACAGAATTTGCATTCAAAAAATTTTAAATGAATTTCATTATACATTTTCTGCAATTTATTATCAAAAACAGGCTAATTTTTTGCGTATTTTTTTTTAGTATTCTCAGTCATATGCTGTGCACAGTACAGCAAGACTTATTGTGCTTTTTGGGGTCCTTTCAACAACAAAAGATCAAATTCTGTGTGGGTTTTTTTCTGCATAGTTATGTATTGTATCCTGTATCTTAAAATTTAGAAACACATTTTATTCAATTTTGTGGATTTATTCCTAATTTTTCTTGATGAACTGGAAAACCAATTAAATATGTTCACATTGAAGTCTCAAGGGAAAATATGATCTGAAATGCAGACATTCCAACATTGTGACAAGTGGGTCCAAGAACCAATCATGTCTGTATCTTGGGGTCTCACTATTACAGTTGGACCTCCCTAACTTGAGCATGCATATATATCAGTCAAAAAACAATGGATGAAAATTATGTTTGTCTTTATGTCCTGATTCCCTTTAGAACAGTGCAATTTATACATACTTAACTAAGACCCTCTCTTGCGCCACTATCATAACGCAAGTCTCTTATTGAGACGTTTGTGTTCTTATTTTATAGAAATTATAAGACCACGGAAATTGAAAAAGAGAAAAATGTCTTTATGGATGCGCCTGTTGAAACAAAAAACAAAAAATGTTTAAAGGTCTACATTATGCCAACTTGTTTATATATCCGGCAGTTGAGGCACAAAATATCACTAATTTACATTCCTGTAATTATTTTAACACCTTTCCCACAAAAACATGCGATAGATTCATTAATTCAAAAACTCATCTCTCTAGGATTTTGCGATTTGTGCCTTCGCGTTCAATTTTTGGAGGTCCAACTTTACTTTTCTCTGTATAAATGCAAGGGCTTTTCAATCTTTTTGGTTTTAATTATTAGTGTAGCTGCTTTTGAGATATGCTGTATATGCAGTAGTATATGACAGTGATATTTGCTTACGAAGTGCTGTACAACTGACGTAGCATATTTTTGAAATTTCCCGATTATTTGAATCCAAAAAAATGCTTCAATTATTTGCATTCATTCATAAATCCGCGTGTTATAATTTCCGTTTTTTGATGTGGTTCTAACCCGAAATTTTAGTTCGTCTCATATTGCGTCCGTCCAGGCAATTATACATGTTTAAATTTTTTCAACTTCACTTTTCTTCCGGAGGGTCAACTTTCTTTTTGGGAAATATTCCAGACCATCTTTCTGAGGACCAGCATTTACTTGCCAGCAGCATAACATACGCGAACCATTGGTTGAAAAGCCCTGTTCAGGAATCTGACGAATGTCGTTTTTTTCCTTGAATTTTACGAATGAATCGTTGAAATGTTCACAGACTTTCGACTGACTCATCGCCGCAAGCAAACGGAATCGAATGGCAGCGATTCGATGCGAATTCGAGAATTCTTCTGACTTTCAGTGAAAATCCATCGACGAGAAGCGTAGACTACAGCAAGGAATATGAGTTGCTCCTCGCGGAGTGGTACGAAGATTATCACACTACCCCGAATGGTCGACAGCCGGGCGTTCCGCTGTTGAAAGACTTGATGGGCATTTGAAACTTCGATGCTGTGGGGTTTATCACTGCTTATGTAGCTCATTTGGGACAAGATAAATACATGGCAGTGCTGGTGCAACTTTTCATGGGCTGCATTTCCGAATTCACTCGCATTCGTCATCAGCAGCAGCAGCAGTACGTCACACACCGTGTTCGCTGGTTAGCAGCTTGACACCATTGGTGGCTGTGCAAGCGTTGCAAGCGTTGTAGTTTTTTCAGTCCCTCAGAATAGGGTGTGCATCTTGTACGGGTAGGATTTAATCAAAATTTCAGGGTGAACAATTGGGGAGCGTTTCTTGCTTGAGTTTGCATGGTAATGAAATGAGTAAATATGGTACGCTGAATTATTCAAATCACTATACAGTATTCAGTAATGAGATTTCTTCACGGCTTGTATAGCCGCGCAGTCCTGGTAGGCGAAACTTAGGCTGAAGTCCTGCAGAAAAAAGTTAGTGTAGCAGAAAATACCTTAGATTCGTCGTTAATTACACTGTATTTTCTAATACAGTTGTACTGTACAGTAATGCATTTTCATTGATCTCATTTGGTGCAACTTTTCATGGGCTGCATTTCCGAATTCACTCGCATTCGTCATCAGCAGCAGCAGCAGTACGTCACACACCGTGTTCGCTGGTTAGCAGCTTGACACCATTGGTGGCTGTGCAAGCGTTGTATAGCGACATCTGTTTGCACGTTCAAAAACGTTTAGAAAAAGGTTTCGCTTACCTTAGGATGAGCTTCTCACCTATTCAACCCTACAGCTATTGATTGACATAATAAAAAAAAAAGTTTTCTCAATCCTTCCAAGTTTTTTTTCCAAAAAGGGGACCTCGTATCTATTCTAGCGAAGATTCTTTATTCGCTCAAGCCTTCGTTGAAATGAAATTTTAAGAAGAATTCTTTCTAAATCTATATTCTGTATGTCAGTATATGTGTTCCAAACGGTACAGTACAGTAGTTATGGGCAATATTTTCCGAGAAAAATGAATACTGTACGCTAGTTCTCTCACATTCTTTCTATAGACAATATACTGGCTTATTCTCGACTCATTCTAATTTTCTCCTCCATTTTTTATATTTGCGGAAACCCTGTGAATATCTCTCAATCCTCTTTTTATTCTCTGTATGGCAGATGAGATCAATGAAAATGCATTACTGTACAGTACAACTGTATTAGAAAATACAGTGTAATTAACGACGAATCTAAGGTATTTTCTGCTACACTAACTTTTTTCTGCAGGACTTCAGCCTAAGTTTCGCCTACCAGGACTGCGCGGCTATACAAGCCGTGAAGAAATCTCATTACTGAATATAGTGATTTGAATAATTCAGCGTACCATATTCACTCATTTCATTACCATGCAAACTCAAGCAAGAAACGCTCCCCAATTGTTCACCCTAAAATTTTGATTAAATCCTACCCATACAAGATGCACACCCTATTCTGAGGGACTGAAAAAACTACAATATTCCTATAATAAAAGACCCCAGAAATCAGAGTAGAACATGAATTCAATTATTTTTCTAGTAATTTGATTTTTAAAATGCGTTGTCCGAAATGTTCCATTACATTCAAGTACAACGCACACTTGAAACTTGTAACTCTTGTTTAATTCATACCTGCTTATGACGCGCACTCCTTCTTTCCTTTCACTTCTGAGAAAAAAGTACACATGGTACTTGAATGAATATGTTAGTGTACTAATCAAACGGAATGTTCCTATATTTAAGTTTAGCTCTCATTTCGAACTCCTGCAAAAGGATTTGTGCATAGTTGATCAAGAATCCAGCTCAAGAAAAAAAGTCCAAATTATTTCCGAACAGGAACAGTATGAGGCACATTTATGGACTTCGTGAAAAATAGTGAACTCCAAAACTTTTTCGGATCATCAAGGCTTTTTTTTTACTTTCAGAAGTTTCACACACAACAGTGTTTCCTGGAAACATTTGCATAGAAATCCCTCCCAGAAGGTTGCAGCATCCAGCACGCAATTCACTCACGCATCACGGCTGACGCAACATTTCTCACACACGAAGTCAAGTACAAAATTTCCAATACACTACCACAAATCAAAATCGGGAAAAAAATAACTCAAGTGACAAGAGGAACAACACACTTTCCGAATCATTAACGTATGCCAAAACATAATGGTCGGGAATTCCAAGGATAAAATAGTACGCATCGAATTTGTCCAGAAAGGCCTGCAAAACTCGTACAAGGAACACCTGTTACAAAAATCACTAACACACGGCAGATTCGCTTTCACTCACATCTTCACTAGAAGAGGACAAGCAAGTTCATCCGGATCAGCTTAAACTCGCTAGACACGAAGAAATGCAGGATTTTTAAGATAACATGAGTACACCACTGTAATAGGATTTTTCGAAAAATTCGATTCAAAGACAAAATTGAAATGAACTGGAAAAGAACCTGATTTCAGCAGAAACCTATGCATCTTAGCGCTTATTAAGTTGCTAAAACGATTCTTTACTAGAGTTTGGATAGAATTAAAAATTATCACAGAAAATTTGATATGTTCTGCACTCAGCTAATTCTCTGGAATAGTCCAAGGACTACTATGATCCAGATGAAATCGCTCGTCAGTTTATCACCCTTAACAGCAACCAAACCCGCTGTTCATGCTTAAAAAAAAAAAACGGGAAAAACAATCGCCAGTTTGAACACCACTTGATTAAGAAACAAAAACGTTGCGCACAAATAATGAGTTTTGTGGGGGAAAAAAGGGGGACAGCGATTATCTGGACCATTTCTCGCTTAGCTTCACACTCCAGTTGGAAAAACCAACAAGAACCCGTTTCTTTCCCGTTGCGCGCAAAGATCAGAAAAAATTGCATTGTCACGTTTCATCTCACCACGGCTAGTAAAAATCTCAAGACTTCCGCCATGTTCTGAAGAAAAAACATTTTTCCACGAGGAACTGCGACTCTTCTACCGCAGTCAAAATATAAATTATTCCTCGATGAAAAAAAATTAAAAGGAAATATCGCAAAAAGGGACTTCAGGAACGAACACAGTTTCAGAACATGGCCCCAACCCACGACAAGAGGTCCCAAGACCGGGAAACCATCGAACACAACCACGCGGAAGAAGGCAAGGAGAAAGTGACGAAAACGTGGCACCATCCCAGCACAGCATCACCAAAGATTACTGAATCTCATCAGTCGCAACAACAAAAAATTTAAATTTAAACACCCCTCGCAACATGGACAAATCGGACGAATTATGCTGGCAAAAGCAAGTTCCAAGCTCTATCCAAGTTTCATTTTCCACATAGAGGAACTGATTCTTGTGAAGCTCGATACTAGAAATAAGAGGTTGTCTTCATTCCACCAACTTTTCGTCGTTAAGTACATCAATACATTTGGAGTTGACCAACATGGGATTTCTATTATTCCTCGTCTCGCGTGCACGCAGAAGTTAGGACACACTTTCTCATCCATCGTGTCTTCTCCCCGCAGATTTGATGCATCATGAAGTTCTTCAGAAGAAACCCCTTTCTTTTTGTCAATCTTCTGACGAACACATAGGACTTGTTCCTTTAAAAGTGTTTTTTTCAGAAGTGCGACACACAACAGACGAATTTTGGCAGGGTGTTCAATCAAGAAGGAACAGAAAATAAAGTAAAAATGACCTTTTTCACGCGACGAACGATTAACAAAACTCTCAACAGATTCAAAAAAACCTATTACACAAACTCAGCTCGGATTGCCTGAACAAGACGATCAACAGATAAAACGAAGAAATATTTCCTCAAATAAGAAAAAGCGCTTCGCGCTCGTTTTCTTCGAAAATCATTAAAACCGGAAATCCCGACAGATGCTGTACTGAGAATAGCACCAGAGGCAAGGAATGAATGAATATTCTTCTCTCTCTGACACATACTCTGGTCGTCACGGATTTCATCGCTCATCGTTCGCAACCAAATCTTCCTCTTCTCTCACCCCTTCGGCGAGTGGCGGCACTGGGTTCGGTACGAAGCCGTTCAAGTGTCGGTGCGAGTGACGAGTCGGAGCGTGGTGTCGGTGAACATGGTGGTGATGAGCCGCCCTCAGCGCCCGGCGATCCGAAGCGTCCGAGTTTCTCCGCTCCCTCACAAAGGCAACGGCGGCGATCAGGGCGCCGTAAGCATTGGACGCCCCGAACCACACCGTGAAAATACTGACTCCTATGGTAAGCACGACGAGGCCCAAGGCCAACAAAATGGTGCCGACGAAGAGAGCAGCCATCGTCAACAGCGTCCCTGAAATGAATAATTTCCAAAACCTCGTCAATATCGCATTGTAAAAACGCAGGCCAAGAAAATCTGACGGAAAACGTACAGAAATTCGTTCATCATGCTGTGCGTTCAAAGATTAAAAACGAGAAATACAGTGAATAAACTACTTGGAAGCCACAACATTTCAATAAGATTATTCTCTGGCACGAAAATATTGACAATAAATATGCACAAGATAAATAACAAACAAAATCTGATCTTTTGACACAAAAAGGAGCACAAAATGACAAGAACAAGTCCAAGTTTTTCTGTACTGTGCACAGATGATCAGAAAAAAACTTCTAAGAAGAGAAGCACCAACTTTGCCTGTTTTGGAATACGAAAAGATTGCATTTCTAATAAAAAGGGTCGATTTTTTTCGAGAAACATGTAGACTCTCTCCACATAGAAATTCGAAGGATCAGAAAAATTAATTTTAGAGGACCTCTGTAACATGAGGACCGAACCTTACACGACCAAAATAATAATAATCCTTTATAAAGAAAATCGCTGTAGAGAGAGTCCGCCTGTTCCTGAAAGTCAACTTTTTGAACAAATGTTCATCCAACCTATCAATACAGTATAATTATCAATTGTCGCTTTCTCTTGAGTACCACGCGCCCTGAAGTAACACACGCACCCCAATTTTTGAACCTAAAATTTAAGTGGAACACGTATACACGCTTATACCGTCGTACATGTATCTGACCTTCGACGAATGCCCAAAAAAAAAATAGAAAAGAGATCCGAATTTCGGTACTCAAGATGTAAACAAGCCCGTTTCAAATCGGAAGTTCCTCACGCACCTTCGACGAACAGAAATCCCACGAATCCAATCCCCAGACAAACGGAGACGCAGGCAATGGCGATGAACGCCGGCACAGCGACGGTGCAGGCAACTGCTCCGGCCCCGCACGTGAATATCGGATGATCGACGGCGAACGACTTGGCTCTCGTCAGCCATCCAAAAACGTCGACGGTGTCGACCACCTTGAGCCATCGTCGGCCGTACTGCACAACCGACTGGAGCCATGTATCACTCTCAGCAGACGCCGACATCCCCTTACCCTCTCTCTCATTCACTTTCATACCTGCCAAAAACGAAGAGATAATCCCATTGAAGTCAAACGGACTTGAGGCGCGAGGTTCTTGACCTTCTCTCACAATCTTTTCTTTTATTAAACACAAGACACTATCCACGTTTCGCAACCACTCTTAAGAGTTGTCCGAATTCCCGACTAACGAACCCTCCGGGGAAGTAACTCGGATCGCCGGCAAGATGTTGGAGAAAAGGGGGAGATGGTTCGAAAACGTTTGTTACTGTAGTAGCTTAGAACCTTCGAAGAGTACTCTTTGGATGCCCTAGTTTTCCTTGGATGGGATGAATTTTAAGATAGAACCGACCTACTCATAATTTACTTCTCAACGTCTTTGAACGACTGAACCTTCACACTCACGGTCATTAACGCAAAAATCTGACAATATCATGACAAACTCTGATTGAAAAATGTTCGTGAAATGGAATATCACCACCAGAAAGATTTCTCCAGTCGCAAGAACTCGGGGAACACAAGAGATTGCTAGTACAGTATGTTCAAAACCTGAAAGTTTCACATACAGTATATATTATCTTATCGATAAGGAGCGCATTTTCCACTACTTTTTCTTCCATTTGAACCGAGGTAGGCGATCATTGGTACAGTGCAGGGGTCCAAAAAGTAGTTCCTTTTCTAAGACGAAAAGAACAAAACTGACGAACTCATGAACGATCAGAAAAAACATTCCAGTACTCGTCTTCTAAATCATTAGTGCTGTTGTCGATGAAGACGGATCGAACGACATGCTCTTGTCCTACACCTTGCAACATTCCCACGCAAAGAGATGAAACAGTGATCGAAATGTTATGCGCAGATTCCGAGATTAGCAGAGTAAAACACGAGACAAGACGAACAAAACCAGGAGTGAAGGGACAAAACGTGGAAAGCTGTTGTTGTTTCAAATGCCGGACAAGAACACGTTTTTTACAAGACCGTGTCAATGCCGAAACAGACGCTAGCCGACAGGGAAAAAACAGGCAGTTATTTTCTTTTATTACATGTACATGCCGCGGCTTTTTTCACAATCGGAGGAGCGGAAAAAAATCTTAAAGCTACAGGAAGATTAGCGACACGCCTCACTCCAAAACGTTGGCCATTCTTGAAGTCGAAATCAGCAGCTTAAAAAAAAGACCTATCCATCGAACACTAGCCCTATTAAAAAATAAATAAATAAAAATCACATCTCTGGCAAGAGAGCATGGAATCCTTTTCAACAATTCCTCACGCACCAAACGAGTTTTAATCGGACAACAAATCCTTCATGCGCTGCACAAAGCGGCAAATCGAATCCAAAAAATCCTGGACGCACAGGAATGAACAATGTTGTTCATCAAAGCACACATACACACACCCGTTTCCATTAGGATAACCCCCTGAATTCAAAAACATTTCTCGACAACTAAACAAGCTCGCACGTACAGTATTGCACTGTCTGGAATCCACTGATTTCCTTCAAAGCGGCCAACTTACGGTATCAAGATACCTCCGCGGCATAGATCACACGGTTCGCTTGTTTTAACAATGTGAGCAAATCCCGGACTCTGACAAAACAGAAGAACGAGTGCGTGTCCCCAGTTACAAAAAAAAAGGCCCGAAGAAGAACGCATAGAAGCTGAAGACTGTACAACTCGGGGCTTGTAACTAACCGTCGTTCAAGTCTCCGATATCCGAGTCACCACTCTCCATGCCGAATCCCAGATCTTCCTCCAAGCTCGAAAACGCCTTATCTGCAAGGGAGAACAATTGTTAGCTTTGCAACTTGCGAGAGTTTACAGCCGTTTGTTTTTTTTTCTACAAGAACTTCACACGTCAGCAAATAGCACGCGCACGCCAAAAAACTCCTGGGTAAAAACAAGTTGGCAATTTTTTTTCTCAACGCCACACCAATTTATCTTCGATGAAAATAAAAATAGGAGACACCGAAATTTCAAGCTAAACCCATGCCTAACGCGCATGAAATTTATTTTCCCAGAAATTTGCTGCCCAAACTGATATGATCAAAACGTGATCCCGATGTTCCATAAAGATCGGCTCAAAGGCGATTGCGCAACTCGGTTCCTTATCGATTCCACAAACAACGATGATTGCACAACGCCAAGAAAATAAAATGTACTGTGCTAGCATCATTCAACGTATTCCCACAACAAAATTAACATATCTCCTCCCACTCGCACAGTAATCGCTAAGAAAATCAAGAAGACTCAACCCGTCATAAACAGAAAATGTTCCAGGATTGAATGAACCAGTTTTCGACAAGATGCGCAAAAGTAATTTGCGAAGATAAACCACGACGGATCAAGGGGTTCTAGACACATCCTTTCTGATTTTTTTTCGCACACTTGGTCTATTATTCGTCGACTTAAAAAAATAATTTCCCCTGACCAGGCATGAACAGAAATCAATATGAGAGCTACTGTACATGTATCCTAAACGTTAGAACCGGCGTTGCATATCGTTCGAATTTCTCGTTTAGGAAAAAGAATTGGCTAACCAAAAATTTAATTCTACAGCTTCGACGCGACCATAAATGACAAGTTATTGCGAATTAAGACCATTTTTTTCAAAAATTGAACAAAATCAATAGTGTGCAGTTTTCCTATTTTGGCCAGTCTAAAAAAAAACTTATGCACCATCACAGACACATTCAAACAGAAAAGCTCCCGCAAGTTTCACGTCCACTTTGCTTCCCAACCGCAAGAATACTACTGGACAGTCCCAAGATCTTTCTTCAAGGTAAGCCTTTCGTTCATCGTTGGACAAATGTACAGTATTTGAAACATCAAAAAAAAATAGTAAAAAAAAGAAACAGGTGCCTCCTAGGACCGTTCCTAATACAGGTATCGCGTCTGGGGGAGTTGAATGAACGCTTGGGACGAGTTGAGTGAACTCGCCACGGATACCTTCAGTGAGACAGAATTACCGGAACTTCTCCCAACTCACAGGCTTCGCAAACCATCGGAATAAAACGGGGAAAGAAGCGACCTGCGTACTGTAATCAGGTACAGGTTCCCCTGATGAAGGGACGGGGAAAGAAGCACACGCGCAAGGAGTTCATCAAACCATAGAGAGCGTTCGTTCACCCACGAAAATGTGATTCAATGAAAGAATAGTTCGGCACACCAACCTGATGTTAATCGCTGGATAATAGTTGGTTGAAGGTAACGCAAAATTCGAAGGATGGTGGGATGAATTTGCCAACGCTTATCCCACACGGCATCTAACGTCTTGAGAAGCATCACCCACATGGACAGGAAGACTCGAACTGGAATCCGGGATTCAACCAACACCTCTTCCGTAGGTTCTTCTTGAATTTCTTCAAAACTAGACGATGAAGATGTCGACGACGATGATCCCCAACGCCGCTTTGTCACAGCGGTGCTTTCTGCAGCGGGAAAAATCCCCTCTGTGGCTGCTCTCGGACGAGGCGTCATCGGGAAAATGAAGTCTGTTTCGGAAACAAAATCACTTCCGAGTGCGGAGTCGCAACTTCCGTAGCCGCTACTCAAGTCGTCTTCCGCAGATTTTTCGTAGTCCGACAGGAACAGCGGTGAGGTGTCACTATCGAAATGTAGTTCCACTGGCTTTCGGCGATTTTCACGGAAATTGGGACTTGGGGGCAGGGAGACAGTACGTCTCATGTCAAAGTGGATCCTCACGTAGGCGGTCAAGGCAGTGGATTTATCAAACGTGTTCACTTCGGCTCCACAACTTATGCCACTTCGAATAACCTTCAAGCCAGATGCGTTGCTTCGGGAGCGCTGAACCGGGCGCACTGTTAAAGCCATGTTCCGTGAGCTGAACTATCCATGCCGCGAATGAAACGCGGTGGTGACAATACGCACAGAGATACACAGTAATCTTTTCAACTCTCTGACATACGCAAGGAAAATGCGAGCAATGAAACAATGGCTATCAAAAATTTGTTCCTTTTTCAACATCAAGAGATCAACCGACTTCGGCAAATTCACGACTAGCTCCACAAGCTCACACGGCGAAGAAACGGATAAGCTACTTACCGAGCGCATATCAAATCCATGCTGAGGTTCAATTACATTCGAAGAGTTTAAGCTAATAACACTCGGGATTCTCGATGTCATCATGTTACAAGGACGGCGGATCAATGCACGAGACAATTCAACACTATTATTACGAACATTCATGGACACGGATCACACGGAACTTCGAAAAGTTTTAGAACATTCAGGCCGCACCTTTACCGACTCATTCAATCATTTCCAAGAAAAAACTTGTCATAGAACATGGTATTTTCATTAAAATAAAATGTGATTAAATCATGAACAAGTTGAATTGGATCCCAGAGGTCATTGAGGTGACACAGAAAACTAGATCGTCCCAAGAAAATGTTGGCTCTGCCAGAAATTCATGTCATACCGTACAGTGCCGCAGTGAAAACAAAAAAGGAAAACGCTTTGAGGAAGTATGGTGCTTTCTTTAAATGTACAGCAGAATCTCGGGGCATGTATTCGCCACTCGATCTTATTCTACACGCATCTATATGATCTCGAACGTAGGCCGCACCTCCGTTTTCAGCCCATTCCTGAGGGACTTACACTGCCATTCATCTCAAGTTTAAGTTGCACGGCAACTGAATAAGCTCAAGTACGATAGATTTTCAAGTTGGAAAAATTACATGTTTTTTTTTTTGACAGTAACGAAATACGAACTTTCAGGTTGCAAACACAAGTGGATCAGCGAAGCTGCCGGGATCAAACCAAGCTACTGTTGTAGTTGCCCACGCCTGACTAGAAAGGAGCCTCGGCATGCCGGTTTTATTATCTTGTCCTATCTGCCGGGAGCAGTATCGCCTAGAACGATAGAAGGAAGGACAGGTAGATCAACTGCGCTCTCGCCACGCTTCTCGTTGCTAACCGAGGTATCCGACTTATACAGCTGAGCGCAAAGCATTACAGAGATAGCCCTGAATAAAAATACAGCACTAGACTTCTGATCAATCATTACACGCTACGACTGCATGATTTAAGATTTTAAGGTGATCACGGCACAAACAACCTTCCAGAACAATCCCCCGATCAGAAATGCCGAGTTCACCGGGATCGACGATGGTCCTATCGACAAATGCACACCGGCATTTTGATCGTCTTCCTCGGCAACTAAGCCATAGATCAACTGCGACACCATTGACAATTTCCTGACAGAAAATTCGATTTCCAGAAGACAAAAAGAATATCACGCATGGAAAATTCCAAGTTCGGAGAACGGAACAGTCCGCCAAATTCATCAAACAAAGAAAGGTTGACGAACAAACGCGTGATAAATCGCATCACACCTTTCCTCAACTTAAGCACGTGATTCAAACACACCCAAAGAAATAATCTCACGACGATCAATTGAAAACTGCGCATCAAGCAGAAAAATCCAGAAGCTAATGCAACGTTCAGTGGCCTTCTTCGAACTCTACAAAGCCCTCTCACAACTGGAGCCTGGTCGCGTTACAACTCAGTCCAGTTCCTCCCTCAACTACACTTCGGTCCACTGGGAGAGAAAACAGCCACAGAGGGCAAAAAATGCGGGAGTGTTCACCCTGTTCTTTCCGATTTCGAACACTGAAAGAGTATAGCAAGAATTCCAGCGCAGCGCGGGGTGAGAAACTCACCAACACGAGGGGAGAAGGTTTGGCGGGACCGGATCACGCTTCTGTCACGTGAAGATCAGCTGATCCGGATATATGTTCCGCGTTCCCACTGAAAACGAGCATGCATGGATGGAGCCTTGTGTTTACAACTATGTCTAACAATATGCACATTCTTAGACACAGTTTTCAGCACAGGGCTCTATCAGCAAATTCCACACGTAAAAAAAAAAAATAAATAAAAAATCCATACCAGTGTAATGTTTTGTACCCTCTGGATTCTTTTATGGCAGAGTTTCTGTTCACTGGATTTTTGAATTCTGTGGGTAAAAAAATTATGCAGTGGAACATTCTTGCGGGTGCAAAAAAGCCTCTGTTAGCATACACAAAATGGCAGATATTTGCATGCCAATATCTGCCTTTTTTTTTTTTACCAATGTTTGTGATGGGTTAGGAATGGGTGAAATCCCATTAAAATAACCCCTTCAACCAGGCCATTACATACCCATTATTTTATTGCCAATTTCTCTCATTACCCTTAAGCACTAATATAATAGCGCATGAAAATACCTGTTCTGTAACCCATTATTGATGGTTTGAGGGGCCATTACCTGTGATGATTACAGATGACCATTTTTCATGGTTTTTTTTACCTATGAAAAACTGAAAAATTATTTGCTGGGAAGATAGAAGTCGGTTCGCGTCACTGGAGACTTCAGACTTCTGAGAGGTCTTTTTCGGTTCGCGGATAGCCAGAGACTGGCCCTTATACTGTACGATCTCCGCGCAGCCTTGTCAGAAAATGTATAAAAGCTTTTCATGAGCATTCTAATTTACTAAATATCAACCCTATGTACAGTATTTGGGGATGTAAGAAGAGTACGATTTACCGGGTTCAGATGGAAATCAACCATACCTGGTTCGACGGAAATCTTTCAGAGACTGCGCACGTCATCGCGCAGAAAACTTCAACCACGAACAGAAAGTAAACCTTCTTACACCAAGGAAAGCATTCATGAAATTTGCACAGGTGAAAAGAGAGCGTCGAGCCAAATTTGCACAATTCGGGAAATGCAATAATCACACACTATTACTTCTCGCGGAGGGAGCGAACTTCCGCGCATCCGAACGCAGTGAAGTGAAGCAGGCAACTGTTCAGGAAGTACATTGTGACCCTGAGAGTGAACATGACGTACCAGTTGGTCTCACTGTAGGACTGTAGGTTCACCCAGGCTTTGAACTACCATACACAGCATCTTCACAGGAACCAATATTCCAGCAGACAAGTCTGTTGGAAAAATAGCCCTCTTGACAAATTCAATTACATAAAAAATTAAAATTGTCAACACCAATCCAGGATCCCAAAATAATTGTAGGATAACAAGCACCTAAAGTTACCTGTAGCCCAAAAATCGAGAAAAAATCTTTCCCTCCAGTTAAGCTTATTTTCATAGATTTCTTGTGTGTGCTACTTGTTTCTTTTGGATACTCATGCCAAGAGGGCAAGTTCTGTGTGTTTTTCTTGATCTTCACATTAATTTTCTTCATGTTGAAGCTAAGAGACAATTTTATTCCTTTGAGGAATTTTTCCGCATTCCTGAAAAACAGCTAGGAGAGCCAATTAAATATGTTCTCATTGTACTGTAGTTGACAATTTTAATTTTTTATGCAATTGAATTTGTCAAAAGGACTTTTTGTACAACAGACTTGTCTGTGGCACAAATAGACAGGGGTTGACTAGACGGTGGTTGACTGTACAGCATTTAAAATGCAGTTGATCTCTCTCTCTCTCACTCTCTCTCTCTCTCTCTCCTTCTCTCACTCTCTACACTTCTACAGCAATCTTGTCTACCACAAATATTTCTGAATAATGCATTCTTTGGTCACATTCACATGTAGGGTTCTCCTCTCATTCTATTGGGATTCTCCTACAACAAGAGTATCCTTTCAATGAAGTTTCTCTGCTGGTACCTTCAATTTTATTGCACAGTGAGTCCCCAGTGATAATTTTCTACAGCACTGCAGATTCCCCCTTCCCCACCACTGTTCGTAGATATGACACTCTCCATAGCTCAAGATAAGGCACACACACAAAAATTCGCCTGACCAACTGCCCTATCCAAGCAGAATCCATCATCTCACCAACAAACAATTCTGTTGGAAAAGCCCCGTTGTACCCATTGACCCCGACTCAAACGAGTCGCAGCAAGTAAACACGCCCCTCCCCCTGCGACTACATAGCGCGACAAAACACACCCTTAAGCCCTCGCGAAATCCCACAAAAAAAATCATTTACTGGAGTTCTGCAAGGGATAAAAAATGTATTGTATTTCTCAAAACACCCCAAAGACACACATACTTTTTCCCCACACTGTATATCTTATCGTCTTTGAAAATCCGTGGAGGGGGCGAGGCAAATATCCGCGCTTCACGAGGCTGCCGCGTGATTTGCAGACTCCTCGCCACGTGATCGGTATATAGTCGGTAGTCGCTATTAACCATGCTACCTTGAAAAATAATGATGAAGCAGGTATAGCAAATATTCCGCGGTGAACCAAGTACCGCGTACCATGTTGGGTCTCTGGGTGATAAACTCATGGCAATGGAAAGCTGCGGGCAATATAATAAGGTAAGTGATACATTACGTGTTGAATGCGTATACTGTATACATAGAGGCCGAGGACAGCTGAACAATCAAAAGACACAATATCATCTGCTTATAATTTCACTTCAAGAATCCCGGATTTTCGATTTTTCGGCACATGTAGCGAACACAGAAATTTTGATTTCACTATACCTTACGCGCGTTTCTGATTTCAAGCTAGCGTAATATACAAGGACTTCCAGAGCAATTACAGTATTCATGTTACCAAAAGGCCGGATTTCAGCTGGCTTCTCAAAAATTGCGGAGTAATTAAAATTAAAAAATCCTCGCTAGACCGACTTTGATTTTTTACACCAGATAAATAAAAAATCATTTAATATTGAGTGAGCATTATCTGTGATGAGGTATTCAGACTCTCTCTGCAAAAAAAAATGCAAGGGACCAGAAAAAAATTATTGCAGAGAGAATTTTGTCATAAAGAGCACATATACTGTAATATGATGGGGAAAGAACCATGTGGAACCACAAAAAATCATTACACATAGAAAATATCATAGTTGGCAAGATTGTTGTGGAGAGGGAGAGTCCAACTGTAAATATATTCTTAAAATCTTAAAGCGCAGTAAATGCCTTGAAAATGAAGCAAGCAGGTTAAAAAATATTTTTAACAA